CGCGCTCGCCAACGCATCGCCGCCCTTCTACCCTTGGCCACCTCCCCGGGTAGATCCACCGCGACTCGACACCCCTCGTCCGCGGCACCTCCTACCAACGCCGCAGCTCATCCGACAAACGTACTCTAACAAACCCGTCCCGGCCAACTCTCGCCTCCCTGTCGCGCGCCCCTCCCACCTCGGCTACGCCACGCACCCGCTCCGGACCCTGCATCGAAGTGGAGGATTGTCGAAGCTGGCGTAACTGGACATGGGAACACCGGCGGAGGGACCGCCTCCGATGGATCATCAGGGCGCCCAGTCACAGTACAACTACGACCCGCGCAACAATGGCCTCTCCAGACGCGCCACCGACGAGGCCGCATCGTCGTCCAACAGTCTTGCGCCCTACGACCGCACCAACTACCCCCCGCGATCGTCGACCGATCCAGGGGACCAGAACCAGCCCGTCGCCAAACCCAAGCGAAGCGGGAAGATATGTGGAAAGTGTGGGGAAGGACTGACTGGACAATTTGTGCGAGCCTTGGGCGACACCTACCATTTGGAATGCTTTACTTGTCACGTAAGACACCCATGTTGTTTTCTGGATTGGAGGAGTTGGGCGTACGCACGTCTGTTGATCTCTAGCGACGCGAGCGCGCGCATCGCCGTTCTGGGTGGACTGCTCCCAATTGTCTCAAGCGCTACAATTTCTACATAACATCTTTGATCACAGTGCTGACCTGCCTTCTAGGACTGCGGTAAAATCGTTGCCTCCAAGTTTTTCCCCGTACCCGATAAGCCACCCGGCCAGTACCCCCTCTGCGAAACAGACTACTTCCGACGTCTCGATCTGCTCTGCTTCGAGTGCGGACAAGCCTTGCGCGGCTCCTACATCACAGCGCTAGACCGGAAATACCACATTGAGCACTTTACCTGTTCCGTATGTCCTACCGTTTTCGGCGCCTCGGACAGCTACTACGAGCACGAGGGCAGCGTCTACTGTCACTACCACTACTCCACCAAATTTGCCCAGCGGTGTAACGGCTGTCAGACATCGATTCTGAAGCAGTTCGTCGAGATCTTCCGAAATGGACAGAACCAACATTGGCATCCGGAATGCTACATGATTCACAAGTACTGGAATGTCAGGCTTCATTCCACAGGCCAGCCTGTCATTGAGCGATTGCAAGATGCTGATGGCGACGCGACAGATGAGGTGCGCGAGAGCGTTCGCCAACAGGAGGAAGAGATCGAAGCCAAGGTCAACTGGATCTGGAAGACCCTTTCGGCTTTCGAGGAAAAGTCCGCGACCTGCATCTCCGACATGCTCCTGCACGTCAGTAACGGTGCCTACGTCGACGGTGTCATGGCAGCCAAAAAGTTCATTGTGCACGTCGAACTGCTTTTCGCGGCCGCCGACGCGCTCGATGCGCAATTGATCGTCAGGACACCCAAGGGATTGACCTATTCGCGCGAATCAAAGCTACTTTGTAAGAAAGTGGTAGCCTTCTTCGCGCTTCTTACCCAGTCCCAGGGTACTGGCGTGCGACGACTGGGCGTGACCCAAGAATTGCTGTCCCTGGTTACTGGCTTAGCCCACTACCTGAAGCTCCTCATCCGCATATGTCTGCAGGGTTCTCTAAAATTAGAGCGCGAGACCCGGAGCTCCACTGGTTTGACCAACTTCCTTACCCAAGTAAACTCACTCGATGCGCGGTTGGAGGACGAGGCCCAAAGAGACCAGGCGGCTGAGTCCGCGCGGCTTGTCCCAAGATGGGCCGACGCATGTCCAATATGCGATGCCCAGGTTGAAGACAAGTGTTTACACCTGAACAACATGTCGTACAATTACAGCTGTATGGTGTGCAGGGGGTGCAATGCCGACTTGCGCCATAGCCCTCAGAGCGCCTATTGGAGTAAATCGAAGCGAAGCATCTTTTGCCCGGCATGTGCAGCAGCGCAGCCAGACGCTGAGAACGGTTTCGAGCAGGTCACCAAGCTGCGTCAGTATGTGCACCTACTAAACGTGGCGCATGCGCGTCTTATGGCGACCCTACGATCCAGTGGCGCATTGCCACACACTTCAGGTAAGAATAACTCTCCGTAACAGATCACCTCGTCACCACTCATCTTGACACTCCGACTCAGATTTCTGGAGCCGCTTCCGAGATTACATTCGTCCCACTAATGACTTGTAGATGATCCCAACCTGGCAGGCTATGATTCCACACAGGGACATCGCCTTGGGGATGACCCGCCGCATTTGCGACCGGACACACGATCAAAGTCGTATGGAGGGACATCAGCAACAGACAGTCAAAACAGCAACAACGCCGCCTACGAGCAATCCATGTCTGACATCAAGCGCCTACGATCGACACGACTTGACAAACACCTATCCAACACGATGAAACGTGCGCGCGCATCACGAATCATTGACGGTCCAGAAGGTCTCGAAGGAGAAGGACAAATGCGAGGAGGAATGCAAATCGTTCAGGAACGCGAGCTAGGGGGCGACGCTGATGCTGTAACACTCGCTGTGAACTCTCTCGCTTTAGACGACATTGCTCGCATGGCTGCATTGGAGCAGCAACGAGAGCAACGTCCAAATGCATTCCGCGCTGGTGGAAGCGCACTACTGGGACGAGAAGATCAACCGAAGCTGCAGAATGGCCATCGTCGCGACTTCTCTGGCGCCCAGGATCTACAACAGATGACAGAAGGTCGCTCACGAACCTACTTTTCGGAGCTGTCGCCACTTGAATACTTTAAGCTGAAGGGCCTTGCAGTACTCCAGCTTGGCCTCTTGCTCGACGACAACCAGTACAACCAGGGCGATCTGCTCGATCTCATCGAGTCGAAGAAAAACAACTTCTGGGGCAAGATCGGGTTCGGCAAAGCGTTCAAGGCCGACAAAAGCAAGCCGAAGAAGGGTGTTACAGGAGTCGAGAAGCCAGTTTCCGACAAAGCAACTTTCCGACAGTCGCTTGAGTATCTCGTGGAAAAGTATGGTGATGAGTGCACGGAAGGTGTAGGACCGGGCGCTCTCAAAGTTCCAGCTCTGCTTCAGGACTGCATCACTGCGATGAGAAGTATGGACATGTCCATTGAGGGTGTGTTCAGGAAGAACGGCAACCTCAAAGCTCTACGCGAACTTGAGGAAGAGATTGACGCTCACGGTGTTCAAAAGGTTGACCTGAATACCAAGAACCCGGTCATACTCGCCAATCTCTTAAAGCGCTTCCTTAGGTTAATGCCTGAGCCGGTTTTGACATTGAAGCTATATAGGCTGTTCATGGTGGCTAATGGTAAGTGGCTTCATTTTACACATCGTGCCTGACTAACGGTAGCAGACATTGAAGATGAGGCACAAAGAAAGAAGGTCTTGCATCTCGTGCTTTGCCTGCTGCCCAAGGCCCACCGCGACACAATGGAAGTCCTGTTCTGCTTCCTGAACTGGGTTTCATCGTTCCACACTGTGGACGAAGAGACAGGCAACAAGATGGACACCTGGAACATCGCCACTGTTATGGCTCCCAACATTCTGCGCGAGAGCAATGACAAAGAAGTCAAGAGCGTGGACCAGGGCGCGGTCAAGGTTGTGTTTGATCTCATCGAGAACAACGATGAATTCTCGGAGGTATGTTGCTCCGCCATACTACCAATCCACTTTCATGCTAACGTCAACAGGTACCCCCCGAGATCATGGAACTACTCAGCGATGAAGTGTCCGACATGAGCGCGAAAGAAATCATGCGCCAATGGGAACAGCGGGGGAAGAACCCTCTGTCAGCTCCTACGCCATCACCCAGAGACCAAACTGGCACAGCATCCAGGAAAGACCAGCGCAATTCGCCTCAAGTTACGACGGCGGACAACAACCCCTCGGCTCAAGCTGGCGAGGCTTCCGTCCGCCAGATTCCCGGCGGGGGTGCTCAACCTATGAGCAGCAATCAGCACAGCCCCACTCCAGGGTATGACCGAAATACACCCAACCCTGCATTCGCCCAGAATCCCCAAGCTTCTTCCGACGGCCACCGCACTGCATCGCCTCATCGGCACAGCTACCGCTCGCCCGGCTTCCAAAAACACACACAGATTGGCACCGCGGGCGCTGGATGAGACACGACCACTCTCTTTTTGGAACCCTCCCGGAGTACAAGGCGTTGATTGCATGCAACCATCTATGCATGGCTTGAGCGAAAAGCATTCAATGAGCGGCGAATTCTATTCTATACCCCTGGCCAGAGTCTACGTTATGACATCTAGACTGGCCAGTCCATCTTCTCACGCATCGGCTTGGCATAAGTTTGACGAACCTGTTTGATTGCATTGTAGGCATCCTGCGCTTGCGCGATGCGTACTGGAAGGAACAACATTTTTTGCTGCAGCATTGGTATGGGCGTTTTCTGGGTAATCACATTGTGCCATATACGATCTTGGCATTGTTTACTGGTGGCGCGAACATGCGCGTGCGAGTGCGGAGTGCTTTGTAGAGGTGGTGTTTGAGAGTGTGAAGAGTACTACGGATTGGGATGGGTGGGCTTGCATGGCCGAGCTGCATGGAAGCTGCATAGGCTGCTGCAGTAGAAGTCGAGCCGAAGGTGGAGATAATGTACGAAGTCGCGCGATGTAGTCTTCAAAGACTTACGTTGCCTACTGTTGGTAGATGGCTTTAGAAGCCGGTGTAGGTATCTGATCATTCTCCCACTCTCTACGTCATCTTTTTTTCTTGTTGTTTACGGTGCGAGGGACGCGGCTTCCTCATCTTCACCAGCCTGGCGGTCCCCACTTGTTGTCAACCACCTTTGCTAGACTCATCTCACCTGCAGCGAAACTTCACTTCACCGAAAGATATTTCCTTTCACTTCACTTTCCTCGCTCTGACATTGCATTCATCGCTCACTGCTAGAGAGCATCACTTCGCAGCTGCATCTGTCTTCCAGAAACCTTTATACCGCAGCTACTGCTACCTGCCTCAGCCGTAGCCTCTAATCGCATCACGCGCTATCCGCACGATGGATCCCGAGACTACTCGGATCGTGTTGAAGCTTCAACTGGACGACGTACACGCCATCCTGAAGGCTTTGCCCAGCACTAGCAACGATGGTGCCGTCAACAGCGAGCGAGTCGCTTTCGCCGCGCTCCGCGATGAGCTCACAAGGAAATGGCAAGAGGTGCACGGTCGTGTCTTCGCGCACAACATGATCAGGAAAGAAAATGCAGGCCGAGAGTTGTTTCGGAAGCTCTTGAATGAGGAGCAGCAAGCTGAACGTGAGTGCAAGCACCTTACCCATGGCACTCATAGCAAGACTAACGTAGTCAAGGTGACCATGATATGGCTTGCACACTCGCTGGCCAGCCGGTACCTCAGCGTCCTGTGGTGTCAGTCGACAACGGCGTGCACAACAACGCAGCAGCACAGAGGCAGGAACCCATCGACCACCGAACCCTCGCCAGCAACAACCTCCGATTCGATCTGAACGGCACTCAAATTGCTCCATCCAGGCTCGAGCCTCTCCACAGCAAGAAGCGTCCTGCTGAGGATGATGCGAGGCCAACTTCAGCATCCAGCAACTTCAAGCGTGCGCGTGTTGACGATGTGGATGACGAGGACGGAAACTCTATCACGCCGTACACGCACAACTCTACGCTCAAGAAGCGGACTGCTCGCGTTGATCCAGCAACGCTCCGGGAGGAAGATGACGGACGAACCAAGCGTACCAAGTTTAACCCTCAGGTCGACGCTGCTCCAGTTGCAGATGCCACGCATGTGCCATCGTCTGAGACGGTCAAGCAAGATCATGCCCCGACTGGAGCTGAGCCTGATCTTATGGTGTCTCGGACATGCTCTTCATGCTTCGACATGCACCCCATCCGAGACACGATCCAACTCCAATGCAAAGGTACCGGCGATGCTGAGCGTCACGCATACTGCCGCGAGTGTATCATGGGCCTTTTCGAAGCTTGTATCACAGATTCCTCGCAATTTCCACCGCGATGCTGTAATCAGACCCTACCGGTCTTTGCCTGCATTCCTTTTCTGCCGCCCGCGCTCTTCGCTCGATATGTGGCCAGACGAGAAGAACTGGAGACGCAAAACCGAACGTATTGCAGCAACTTCATGTGCGCCAAATGGGTCAGACCCTGCAATATCGCAGCAGGCATAGCCACATGCGTGAAATGCGCCCAGAAGACGTGTGCCACGTGCAAGAAGAAGCAGCATGCTGGTCTCTGTCTTGAGGACCAAGACGTCAAGAAGCTCATGGAAGTTGCAAAGGCCAAGCGCTGGAAGACTTGCCCAAAGTGCAAAGAGATGATAGAACTTGAGGCTGGCTGTTACCACATCAAGTACGTATAACCGTTCCATTTACTACATTGAACTGACTTTGTAGGTGCCGCTGTCAACACCAATTCTGCTACCTTTGTCTCAAGAGGTGGCGTACATGTAAATGCCCGACTTGGGACGAGCGGAATATCACTCCTGAACCGATACCCGCCAACAACGCCGCCCCAGATATCGTCAACCCTGCAAACGTTGCGCCGCCCATCGCAAGGCTCTTCGCTGCTCCAGTACCTGCCAACAATGCCCCTGCCAACGTTGTAAATCCTGCTTACGTTGTACCCCCTGTCCCACCGTTTGGCTTTGCACCAGCGGTGTATGCCCCAGTACCAAACGCTCCCGTCTTTCAGCCTCAACTGCATGCCCCAGTACAGTTTCAACCCTTCGGTCAGCACCTGCAGCAACAACAACCTCTGGCCACCAACCATGCACAGTATCACGATCAAGGGGCCGATGACCATGAGTTTAGGCGATTGTATAAGAGCAAGGGCGTCGATACCACATGTGGTTACTGTAAGAACCAGGACCGCTGGGTCCATGGCTGTAACTTCAGAGGCTGTGATGTGCGGGTTTGTTGGCGATGCACGAGGCGTTACCATCCCAACTCCACTACAACCTGACAGCCGCCTTCTACATCTCGAGCGCAACACATGTCAGGCGGAGAGTTTCAGTCCACATGTTGTTAACGGATAGGTCGTATACTACCTGTATAGATAGCTAGCTAGTTGGATGCACATGCATGGCACTCTCCAGAGAGCATGTATATAAATACAGCATAGCATAGTAGTTAGTCGACATCGGATCTAAATTCCGCTAATGCAACTCTCACTTCACAAAGCTCTACTTCTTGACAGCAACAACAAACAACCTCGGGTATCCCAAAAGCACCTTCCCATCCACCAACTCCGGATACTCGCTCTTCAGCCCCCTCTCATACTCCTCCAAAAACGCCTTCTTCGCCTCCTCCCCCTCAATCCTATTCAAATAAGGCTGCAACCCCGTCCCCTTGACCCACTCCACAATCGCCCCCGCATCCTTGAGCACATGCATATACTTTGTCCTCCACACATTGACCAAACTTGCCTCTCCTACCAAAGCATTATAGAACGCGCTCGGCTCCTCGATAGGATCCAAATCCGGTCTTTTCGTATCCTTCAAATCGCCAATCTGCGTATCTGCGAAGGAGTCCGACCACGCTTTCCCTGATTGCAACGCCGTCTCACGCATCATCCGGTGCGACGGCTCGTGGTAGTTATCTGGGACCTGGATAGCCAGCACGCTTCCGCTTTTCAATGAGGAGAAGAGGCGCACGAGCGTGGGAATGCGTTCGCAAGACCGGAGCCAGTGGAATACCGCGTTGCTGAAAAGTACATCCACATCCCCATCTGCTTTGAACGTCGCCAGATCGCCTCGCATGAAATCTACACTTTCTTTCCCTTCGAACTCCGCGTTTGCTTTTTTCAGCATGTCGGGGCTGCTGTCCATACCCGTGATGCGCGCTGAGGGAAACGCATCAAGCAGGACTTTTGTACTGTTTCCTGGTCCGCAGCCTAGGTCGTAGATACGCGGTGTTGAGCTGGTGATGTTGGGTTGGATTTGAGAAACGAGGTCGTAGACGGCGCGGAGGCGCTCGTTGTTGAATTTTAGGTATTGCGTTGCTGACCAGTCTTTTTTTGGTGGGGGTTCCTGGGACATGGTGGGGGATGAGGTGCTGAAGGGCTGGTGTTGATGTTGTTGGTGATGGTTGTAGAGGTTGTGTTGGTTTGCTTTTTGGGTCTGAGGGTATGTGAGTGTGTGCCGTTGGTTAAATGGATACGATGTTGTGACGATAGTTGATAGACTGCGGATATGTATCCGCGGGTGGAGTGTGGCCAGGCGGGCCGATCGAAGGGTTCGAGAACTGCGGAAGACTGGGGACGCCATCTGTGCAAAGTCTTCGCATCAGCTGAGGAAACGGCTAATGATGCTTGAGTAATGCTTGAGGTGGTTAAGTATGTACAAGGCGTGACAAGCTCTTCGGAAAAGCGCCGTGCTGAGGTCTGGAAGCTCAGCTCAGCGAATCAGATTACGTGTGCGGGGTACGAGGCTAGCAGATGGGGTTAAGATCGGCGTATGTCCGGGGTGACGCACCACCGAAGAGGTCTACAGCTTGCTCTTTGTAGCCGGAAAAGACACTGTTGCATCTTCATGAAGCTCGTTTTCGTGGTGGATCAATTCTACTTTTGGTTTATCAAAGAAGGCCTAATGTTGGTCCCGATATGTCTTGTTACCACCCATTACTTACCTCCTACGGGAGAGGACACAAGGAAAGCTATCGACTCTGAAAACGAACTTGCTGAGGGCGCAAAGGCACTAGAATCGCGGAGGCATCATGCCCGGAGGGCCCATCTTGTTACCACCAGACTTGCCTGCCGTGATCTCGGGATAAGCCGTGCTTCCATCGTCGTATTCGATCGGCTCTTCGTCGTTGTCTGGCACGCGCGCGCTGGTGCTGAATACCTTGACTGAGAGAGTCTTTTGGTCAGGGAACTTGACGCGTTCGCCATTTTGCTAAAAGTAGAAGTCAGTTTCGATATCAGCCATGACGTGGAGTGAACTCACATCGTAAACATTCCAGGTCAGCTTCTCGGTCAAGAAAGGCACCACGTCGCTGGGCTCCAGGCTCTTCAAGCTCTTGTTCTCAATCTGCTCGATAAGATAAGGTGTGATACTTGTTGTACCGTTCATCAACTTCTCCGGTTTTGAGGGATCTTTTTCGGTGTGCACGTCGTCGAGTCGCTCCGGCATCAACATCATCCAGCTTCCCACGTCGACGACTGGCTCGGAGTTGAACATGCCGCCGAGCGAGTACTTGACGATGAACGATGGTGGAAGTTTGGAAGCAATGGCTTGTGTCTCGATGATCCAGTCGGTGTATGTGCCATTGCTGTCCTCGAGTGTTTCTCCGAATGGCGTTGGCTTGGTACTCATAACTGTAACTTTGCTCTGTGCGCGTGCGCGGCCACCATACATCCTCGCAATCTGCGCTGTGACATCTGCCTGGTAGGCTTGGTCTGATGCGAACTTCCAGCGCTTCGTTTCCGGATAGGCATAACCTAGGACAGTGGTATTGCGACAGTCGTTGAAGGTCATGAATTTGCCAGGGTCCTTTCTGAATGGGAGGAGTTCAGTGTTTGCGTCAACGTTTTGGTAGTCGTCGAGATAAACATTGCCGTGCGGTCCTATGCTTGACTTCTCCATCCAAAGATCGGGGTGCGCTCCCTGGTATAGTGCGAGTAGGCGGTCGACGTTGCTGACGATCTGTTAGCTTATGTGATTCTAGGGATTAGGCGCACTTACGCATGATGTAACATGAAGAGGGGTTCGTATGACGAATACTCCAGCGGCCACATATGACCAGGTGAAGACGTGGGATCGTAGCCACCGCCGATAACGCCATGTATCCAACCATGCGGGTCTTCTAGTATACTCGAGAATCGCGAGAACGTGCTCGCTCGGAAAGCAACACCAACCTGAGATATCAGATTGGTGGACTGGCCATTGAAGGCACCGACAAACATCGATTGTCGCGATGTCGCATTGGCGGTCGCGTCACTCGGCCATCGTATCGTCGAACTCATAGAGGCCCACTGCATGATACATTAGAAATCCTGTTCCACGATCTCCCAAGATTGAGATCGCTTACCTTGTGATCAAAGCCAGCAGGTATGGGGTTGAACTTGTAAGAATACAACGGATTTGACACCACTGTCAGACTGCCGTCCGTATCCGTCACCGCTATTTCGGGGGCTGTAAAGAAGTCGGGCACCGGGCCAATAGTCGTACCTTGGGCCCAGTCCCAATAAGGTATGCGAAACTCATTTGCTGCCTTGAGGTACCGTTCGATCTGATCGGCGGGTGCTTTCTTCGCGATATCATAAACATGGCTCGAAAGTGCTTGCTACCATCAGTCAGTACCATCGTCGTTATTCCTTCAAGAAAAGGCGAAGGCACGAAGGTATGAAGCTCACCTCGAATAGCGCAAGGTACGGGCGATGCCAACCCAGGAACAACTCATTGCCATGTGGGCAGTAGCCAGCCTTTCCAATCTTCTCTTTCTTTCCTGGTGCATCACCCCAAATGTCGTAGGGCCTTCCATGTATCGCTGAGCAGTATGTTAGTAAGCGATGAACCATGCTGATAGTGAATGCGCTCACATGCGATGCCGTAGAATGAGTTGGGGTTACTCTGCGGAGTTGTATGAAGTTGTCGAAGCGCCAAGATGTAAAGGCTCCATTGGTCTGGCGCGTTGTTCTTCAAGTCCCTCACCTCTCGGCGCACATAAACATTGCCTGTGGAAAGTTAGCGGCGATTGATACACGTGCGGTCTAGCTGAGTACTAACCGTTTTCGTCTCGCGACTTCACTCCGGTCACTACGCCCACTACGGACTGACGGACGGTATGAGAGCTCTTCCTTTCCGATACAGGCGTACACGTGACGTATGATATCAAAAGCCACGGTATTAAGTATCGAGCGAGCCACGGGATGAGCATGATGAGCGACTGTCGCAGCAAATGAAGGATATATCTGCGGAGAGCCGGTCAGAGGGGAGCAGAGAGATATATATTTGTACATCAGAGCCTGCAGTCCCTGCGTGTAAAACAGACTAGCCACATTGAGGTCATATGTGGTGAAAGTGAGTGACGATCGCGCCTGTCATCCACAGTCGAAATACTAGGTTTAGGAGCCCAAAATGAAAGCAACTGGATGTCGCATAGGGATCAATACAACAGCAAAGCGAATTGCGGACCAGGATTGTTGGCCTCTCTCACCTGTGTTGTTGTTGTTGTGATGACAAGAGATGTGATAGCGAAAACGTGCCCTGAACCAAGGAATGTGCTGGGTGAAATGTGACGCACTCACCTTGTGACGCGATGAACACGAGAAATATAGCACAGAAACTGTGAGTCGACCGCTGGTATGGGAGGATATACCGCTAATGTGGCAACGCAGTATGAGAGTAGGGCGTGGCGGGTGCGTTGTAAGTTCAAGCTCCCGCTGGCGTTCTTCTAGAAGCGGAAAACAGAGATGCGACGATGACAGTTGGTGAGTTAAATTACAGGGCGAAAGCTAGCGATTGAGATAGAAAGACAGCATGTGATGTTTGTGTCGAAGGTGCATCGACGAAAGAAGCATCGTCAAGGGGTTTGTTGACGTGCCAGAAATGTGCTTTTCTGATCACGACCTCGTCTCTCCCGCACCGGTGCGGTAGCGATCAAGTCGTAGGAGCACAGAATATAATCGCTCCAAGGTTTTCGCGAATAGCCGTTGTGTGAAACATCAGCCGGATACATTACCGCAAGCAATCTTACATAGTTTCGACCGCGGTTTCGGAACGCATGCTGGCTGTCAACGCCAAATATGGTTCGCACGACGCATAAGCTTTTCAGCCTAATCCACAACTCAATATACAGACAAAAGATGGTAGGGCCATTTGTCGGCGTTCGGTGACACCCGCGGATCTCTGCATTCAATGTTGCACGACGCGTGGAGCAATGCGCAACATGCTGTGTACCCCGCGCGGCTACATGTCTGGCTGACGGAGATTGCCTGACATGAATCCACCGAAAGAGATGTCGCGATTAGAGTCTCCACAATCCTAGCTTTTCCGTTAATCTTTCGTGCCGTTTGAGGCTCGACGCAGCACCGACGCGCCTAGCGGATGCTTACGGCGACCGACGGCGGGGAAACGGTAAACTGATTCGCATACATGATAGTGGAACGTTGCAAGACTCCGGAAATAGTTGATTGCTGATTTGAATGGTTCCTAATCAAGACGCTAATACAGGTCATTCGTGCCGCTAGCCGTAGCTGACTGCGTTGTGCATCCTTATACAAGTATTCCGCATAGGACCACATGCGCAAACCGCCTGGCGGCCATCTCGTTCATTACATCGTGTGTATCGTCAAAGTGCCAGTCGAAATACTGGAAGTACCCATTCGAGGGTTTAGATGTCGTTATATCCGAGAAGTGTCTTTGGCAGATCTTTGTCCGCAACCGCCCAGGCCCAGGCACGACCTGCCTCGCCACACCATAGGGAAGATGGGTCTTCCGATTTCTCAAGCATTCCGTCTTTGGCCATCGACTTGATCTCATGGCCTGTGGTGTAAGTCAAGAAGTGTTCGAATTGCTTTCCGTCCAGAGCGAGAGCGTTTCCAGTGATACCGTGACAGAGACATGGCTCCTTGGTGAGCAGGCCTCTTTCCCAGATGCATTCTCTTGCCTTTGCGACAACCCGATCAATGCGATCTTGAAGTCCCGGGAAATATTTTCGGATTGAGAGAATGGAGTTGACCACACCAGGTGCTCCGTGACAGACTTCAACGAGCTTGTCACGACCTGGTGGGAGAGATGAAGGGAAATTGCCGCTCTCGTATTGATAGCTGAGCAAGGCGCCTAGTTCGGCCTCCAGCTTAGACGCCCAGGACGGGTCGGTGAGCACGATCTGTGTAATGATACCGATTGCGCCATGAACGGCACCCACGTATGCCTTCCCATGCCACTTCCAGGGACGCGGGCTTTGCATGATGTTCTCGATGACCTCATCGGCCGTGTCTTCGATGAGCTCGGTCACGTCCTTGTTATGAGCGAACGCCCCGCGCACCAAGCGGAGGAGGTACAGATAGCCAGCGCGACCGTATAGCCATTCGTTGGAGGTCTCGTCCTCAAGCATGACTGCAGCATGATCGCAGAGCTCCTTTACAGTGTCGGGGTCTTGTGCAGTCACGGCGTACAGGGCAAGCAGAGACATGATGTCGTTGGAGATACCGCATTTCTTGGGAGATGGTGGCGGGAACTCCTTGATATGAGCCTGAGCTTGTTCGATGTAAGCCGCAGACCATGTATTCAAGGGGTAGTCGTCCAGCTTAAGATCCGGGTATATGTTGTGCAGGGCATAGAAGAGGTAGGCTACTGAAATCGGTCCGTAGTATAGACCACCGCCTGGGGGTACATGATGCGGAGGATAGTCGGTAATCAATCGATCCAATGACGCTAGCAGTTGCTTGTGAGGATCTCGTCGTGCCAACGGCGCATCATTCCGGAAATAGCGGGGTATCGAGGGAGGCGGTGCTGCTTGTGTTGCCGAATCTGCAGGCGGCGCGCCGTCTTCGGACATGATGATAGGAGTATATTGAGTCGAGTTGATTCAAATCTCTCGTTGGAAAGCGAACGGGTAAAGTTGGCGCAGATTTAGGCATGCGCGAGTGACGGAAAGGTGTGAGATCGTAGCTGCCCGACTGTGACGTCAGCGGGGCTAGTCGTCGATGATTGGTCAGCTGCGGCAGTCGCAGGCTAGAACGAAAATTGGCAAACATCACACCAAGAACTCCATGTGCTGCGCTGGTGCAATCTCGAAGTTTCTATGCTACCTGAGCTACGGGGTATCAGGTGTTATGGTACATCTCCTTCTCGTCCGATGCTGTGATCAGCATGACCAAATTGACTCATAACATTCTTACGTCTAAATCCGACGACCTGCGTCTCGTACAGTTACAGTGTTCATCACATCTCGCTGGTTTAATATGTACCCAGCGACTTCTGTTGTAATATGATCATGATTGAAGAAAGGACTAGCCGTGGGAAGTACGGCCTGGCCATGGTATGGGCTCAGCGGGAAGCTCAGAGAGATGTGCCGGCGAGCCGTTGCGATGGATTTCATGCTGCCCTATCTCTCGACTGTCTAGCTGGGGTGGATCTTCTGGTTCCGTGATCGAGTCTGCTCTGTAGAGTGCCGCTATTTTCTGCTGGAATTGGGTGGATGCTTTCCCTGGATGCAGTCAGCACTGTGTACCGAGGATCGAAGCGTGACGCGTGGGCTTACTTGATAATTGCGATGTCATATCGTCACCGACCAAAGGAGAAGGGTATGTGGCTGCTTTGTATACCTTCGTCCGCCGTCTCTTTCTTAGGTATAGGAGTATAGAGGCGATCAATGCGCCCAAAATGACTGTGCCTAGCACTGCGCCGACCACGGGCGCTATGATCGACGACTGAGCGTGGCCAGCTGATGCTGGTGCGTTGATAGACGGTGTCGCTGTGGCTGATGAGTTCGGTGTAACAGTCTCCAACGAGGGCTCTTCTAAGCTGAATGTAGACCCAGTGTCAAGGGATGACCCGGAGGCCGTTGAAGAAGTTATTGAAGAAGTCGTCGCGGTGATCGTTACCATCAAGACCGATGTAATTGGGGTAGGCGATAATGTATGTGAGGCTACTCACGGTCAGCTCTTACAAACGCCCAACATACTGGGTGTACTTACATCGCCCTGGGGTCCGGTCCTTGTCGGCAGGACAGGTACTACCTGGCATGCATGGGTCTATCGTGCAGCAGCCACGGAAGTCGTTGCACTTGTAGAATACGCCTCCCTCCGGGCATGAGCTATCGTTTCTTCCTCGAAGTGCGGGTATCATTGTGTTAGGCTAGATTTCTTGATCGATGAACGATGACGATAGGACGAGAGCGACCAGATATGAAGGTGCGACCACGACCATGATCAAGCCCCATTAGCATGTTTGCATCAAACCGTCATCAGACGCAAAGGTAGTGCTGTCGTAGGCCGCCGAGGCGACGCAAACAAAGCGGTGCATCGCAAGGGTGCTCCTTACTGCGCTTCCACGTGAAACGCTCTGCCCGATGCAGCCATGAGGTCAAAGAATTGTTGGCGCTGCTCTTTGTGTGTCTATAAACGTCGTACGGAAGCTCAACTCATCCTCAGGGGTCGCGTGTGTCAATGTGTCGATGGAATCGTGGGTCGACCTCGGATGCAGAAGTAGCTAGCCCCACCGTCGGCCCCGACTTCCCCTTCTCGCGTAAGAACTAATTACACCATCACCAACAACGCCACAAATATTGCGAACGTCGCCCAGCCATCGCATTCCACCCGGTTTATTGACAGTTCTCACATGATGCATCCGGGGAGATTCGTGCACGCGTAATCGCACACATCTCGATGGTCTGGCCAGGTCATGTCACGCGATTACGCGTACCGATTTGCAACAGCACCACGCGACGCCATCTCGGCCTGGCTGTGTCGACTACACGATGGCTGCATCATAAGGAATGCGAATGTCGAGAGAACATTTATTATGGGGCAAGATGCAACACTTTGATAAATACTGACAGACCTTTAGATAC